AGCTCATTAGTTTCTTTTTTTCATTTAAATTATTTGTTTAAATTTAAAAGATAAAAAATATTTTCATTAAAATAAATCATTAATTTTCTTATTTTCTTAGAAATTTAAAGTTCTCAAATATTTTGACATTTATATATAACTTTTTTTTTTTTAAATTAACTCATGTAATATATATGTCTAACAACTAGTACATATGATTTGACTATAATTCATTCTCATATAATATTTATTAGAATTGTTTTTAAATCGGCGAGTTTCCACATAATATCAAATGCATACAAGCAAATCTTGCGTCTTACTCTAGCTAGCTTGTTGTTGCTTTTTAAAGTTAGTATTCTACTATTTGGGTCCGCCCTCATGTAGAGATTTTCTAAGCTAGGGCTTAGGGCCCCTAATTATAAGGGGCTCCATATTCTCCAAAATCTAAACATTTTTTAGTCCATTAAAATAAATCAAGTGGAAGAATAAATTAGTGAACGTTGAACTCATGAAACTGAAACGGCGGTGCATTCTTCTACCAATTCTAATTTCTGCGACGTATTCATCTCATCTGTTTCCGATTTCCAAGTGAACAAGTCCGACACAGTATGAATTTGGGAGTTTGATGCATAACAACTTTTGAAGGTATGATTTTGCAAACATCTTAAGAATCAATTAAGGATTTCAAGTATTTCACTGAATTTTGCTACTGTGATTTGGGATTTAATTGGACGATAAATGTAAGTAATAATTCCTAGGTGAGAGATGTGTATATCGTTAATTTTTTTTTTCTGTTTTACTTGGATTAGTGGAGTTTTATTCAATTTTTTTTCGGATTTGGACAGATTTACCCTTTTAACTAGTTTGTGTCCCAGTTTTGTGGTCAGGAATATTTGGGATGTTTTGTTGGATTTTTCTATGGATCTTTGGTATTGATTTTGGTTTTTTTTCTTTAGTTGGACTAGTTGTTTTGGTATAGAGGGTACAGGTTACATTTTTTTGGAGAATTACATACTTTTCTAGGGTTGTTTCTTAGCAACAGTGCAAGTTACTTTCTGTGGATTTTTTAGTTCTGTGGAATTTTGTTTTCTATCTTTTGGTTTATTAACATTGGGTTACTAGGATTTGTTAAGGTCCCTCTCTATTGTTTTATATTTGATTGGTGTATGGTGTGTGAGAATTGGAGGCTACCCTTTTCAGAGCCTTGTTCTTTATATGCATTGGTGACTTCTTTGTGATTTCTTAGAATCTGGAAGTGATTGCCTGACTTTTTGGATTATATTTGTGTTATCGATTTTGTTGGATTATTGCAAGAGGTTCTATAGATATATCCTTATGTACCTATATTTGGCCATGGCTTGGTGGTGTAGAAGATTCAGCCATGGTGGTGTAGCAGATGGAGCATTAGCAATAGAAGTAGTGGATGAGGCAATGGTTTTGGATAGGTTGATCTTGTTGGCTTTTTACTTTGTTTTTATCTAAATTTGTGATTTCCATTTATTCTTTGTATTCTTTTTCTTTGATTTAAGAAAGTTTGTCGAGGCTTTGGTCTCTTTCGAAAAAAGAATCATATATAAATATTTATCAAATGCTTGTTATTTTAGGTTATTACAACAAGTAAATTCCTTTATACCATAATAAAATTATCCAAGAAAAAAACATAAAAAGATAACTTGTATGTGAAAACAATTTAGGAGTATAATAAATGCTAAAGGGCCCCAAATATTTTATTTGCTTAGGATCTTCAAATTGGTTGAGCCGCCTGCTACTATTCTATATATTTTCAATACTTTTTAAGCTATGATCATCTGCTTCATGCATCTTTCACCTTATATGAAGTTACATATGTTTTATAGAAGTGTAAAAAGTGTAAAAAAGGATGTATTTTCAATATTATTATTAAGCAATATCAAGGGTGAAAAATTAATGTTACATAACATTACATGGTAGTTTGTTTGAGTTCTGATGTTTTTGTAACTTGACCGGTCAAGTATGTCATAAGTTCCAAATGGAACAAAGAACATAATCATAGGCGGATCCAAGGGGATCCCGGGGTAGCCCGGGAAATTTTTGTTTACGAATCTTTTAATTTTTTTCGATATAATGTATATATCCGCATCCCTTCAATTATAACACAAAACAAATAGGTGAGCTACTGGTTAAGGTGTTGGTTTATTAAAGTAAAGCTCTCACGTTCAATTCTTTCTCTTTATATATCCTTTGTCTATTTTTTTTATTTTCCCAGCTATTCTATCCCACACCGGCAAACATATGTAAACTCAACTATTTTTTTCTATTATATAAGTCTGCTATCCTCATACTTCATTTGATGTCTACTTTAAATCCCACATCGATTCAAGTATCAAAATATACTTCAACTTCATATTTATATAACAATACTTGAGGTTAGCTAAGGATGCGATTAAGGTTTGGGTTTAAAACCGAAACGGAACCGGGGAAAGCCAAGTACCCCGGAAAAAAAAAAATTAGATTACCCTAAATATAAAATTGGGATACCCCTTTACTTTGGTCCTGGATTGTTATTTTTATTAAATAGAAGTGTCGGTAGGATAATTATTAAGTGTCGGTTGTATTATTTGTAATGTAACATAAAGTGTGTAACCCTCAATAGTCTAGGGACTATAATGTAAATATGTGTGTCATTTTTTATTGCAACCCAATTATGTAACCGACTCCTTTGAGCCTATAAATAGGGCCTTCGTCCATATGAAATAAACAAGCTAAGTTTGAGTGTTTAAGACTTGAGTTGATCTCAAAGTTCTTCTCTGTTGAAATAGTTTGTCTATTTCTGAATAGCAGAGTTCTATCCAAACTATCCACATAAACATTCAATTATTCAACACAATCCATCATCAAGACAATCCAACCCATCAATCAGGTATAATCTTATCCTAATATCCATTTATCCGTCATGTCGTTAAATTTGGTATCAGAGCTAAGTATCATTCTTATTATGATTATGAATATTAAATCTTTCGTTCATATGAATACATGTTCATCATACATCATCATATATATTCTTATGAATATTCATCGTTACAAACATTCATCGTTATAAGTTATTATCATAAACTCATATCCACCTACAATTTAAACATATGTCGGTAGAAGGTTTTTTACAATTATGACAATGTACCAAAAACTTAGAAACACATTTTGTTAAAAAACCCCACCATCAACATCTTATTAAAATATAATAGTATTAAAAAACCCCACCATCAACATTTATTAAAATTTATAAATCATAACTTTGAAAGAAAAAAAAATTAAATTATCATTTTGTTTCTAAAAACTATAATCATGAGTTTTTCAAGTTTAAATATTAACAAATAAAAAATCTTGAAGATAAAATAACAAGAATAATTTATTAAATATGTCTCAAGAAATAGAAAATACACCAATCATTATTAATAACGAAGAAAATGAATCAGGATACACCTTTGATGCTCTAATTAATAAAAATAATATTAATAAAGATGCTATAAGAAAATCAAATTTTACACTATCTGAAACACATAATTTTAGATATAATTCATTGAAAAATTTATTTTCTAGAAAAAATATTATATATTACGGAAAGTTTATAAGAGAAGAACTTTGAGATCAACTCAAGTCTTAAACACTCAAACTTAGCTTGTTTATTTCATATGTGCGAATTCCCTATTTATAGGCTCGAAGGAGTCGGTTACATAATTGGATTGCAATCGTTTGATTGCAAAACGACACACATATTTACATTATAGCCTCCTAGACTATTGATGGTTACATACTTTATGTTACATTACAAATAATACAACCGACACTTAATAATTATCCTACCGACACTTCTATTTAATAAAAATAACGATTCCTTCTTCTTCCACGTTGAAAGGACAGGTGTCTTCAATAATGGCTTCAATAATGACTTTTTAACATCATTGCTTACGTCATTCCTTCCGCCTCCAAAAAGACATATTTTTGATTTTTTTTTTCTTTTATTGTTAATCTTCCATGAATGGTGTTTTTTCTGTGTTTTCTGAACAGTGACTGCAATTGTGTCTTGGTGCATGCGTAATATGTTTACAAAGTTGTTTTTTGATATCAGCAGGTAATTCAGCTAATTGATGAGAAAACTTTTCGAAAGGTTGTTTGAAGGTTTCAATTGCTTTCATTGCTTCCAGAGTGATTTCGCTATTTGTTAATGAATAGATAATGAAAGTTTTACTGGCGTAAATCACTTTGATTCTTGACCTTTGATCTTTACCGTTGCCTATGCGTGATGATGCCAAATAGACACCGGGGAGTGCAAAAATTAGATGATCCTGTGTTGGTGATTCCCGTGGTAGATCATCTTTTGTTGGTTTTGAGTCGTTGCTTATTCCCATGTTTGCCAAAGTAGTGCTTGGGATAATTAGTTGAGAGTCTTCATCAAAAATTGGATAGCTAGAATGCATTTTAATGAATAATCCTCTTTCCTGTTTTGCAAATCGTGTTTTATAATTTCTAATGATAGTTTGCACAACAGAAGGGAACTCGCTAATGCAGTGTAAATTGGTGCCCTCTAGATAGATGTTGTCGATGAATCCATGAATAAAATAATCTCATAAAGTCATAAGATCTGATAAGTCGGCTAAGAAAACTGCTTTAGGACCTGGGCGTCTGGCTACTGGGTAAAAGCCCATCAAGGAATGGACTTCGGTGTATGAAATGAGGCTCTCACATAATTTGGCAAATTTTTTGGCAGATGGTTTTTTCATTGCTTCTTTTTCTTTGGTTGGTAGAATGGATTCAAGGGCAATTTTTGCATTTAATTGGTTAAGGGATCTTGGGATGGATACAGGTTTTTGTGGTGTGAAACTGGATATAGGTTTTTGTGGTGTTATGAGAACTGTTTTTGAACATTCGATGTTATCTTTTATTACTGCTTTGTATGCCTCATTGTATGCGATTTCTGCTTCATTTTTCGTTCTGTAACTTTTGTGAATGATATTTTTTCCAAGAATATATGAACTGGCGATTCCCTAATCGTCATATACTCCTTTGTTTTCTCCGTTGAAAATTACGTACCATTTCTTTATATTTTTATAATCTGCTTGTAGTGGTGGATACTCCTCCTGGTTTGGCGTCATGGTTTGTTTTTCTATTTCGAGTGCTATTTGTGGTTGACTTTCATCGGATGATATTTCTTGAATTTCTTCTTTTGGTTGCTTTGTTGTTAAGCTGCTGGCTGCTTCTTCTTTAAATGCTGAATAAGATGATAGAATTTGTATTGTTTGTTGTAGTTGCTCTTTTTCACGTTTGACTACTTCAAGCTGTCTGATTAATGATGCTTCTTGTTCTTCTTTTTGTCTGAACTGGTGTTTGACTTGCTTCATGATGGCTTCCATTTTAATATTTCTGCTGAATGAATATTTGCGCCTTTAGCAATGACGTTAAAAAGCCATTATTGAAGACGCATATCCTTTCAACGTGGAAGAAGAAGGAATTGTTATTTTTATTAAATAGAAGTGTCGGTAGGATAATTATTAAGTGTCAGTTGTATTATTTGTAATGTAACATAAAGTGTGTAACCCTCAATAGTCTAGGGGGGCTATAATGTGAATATGTGTGTCGTTTTTAATCAAACGATTGCAACCCAATTATATAACCAGCTCCTTCGAGCCTATAAATAGGGCATTCGCCCATATGAAATAAACAAGCTAAGTTTGAGTGTTTAAGACTTGAGTTGATCTTAAAGTTTTTCTCTGTTGAAATAGTTTGTCTATTTCTGAATAGCAGAGTTCTATCCAAACTATCCACATAAACATTCAATTATTCAACACAATCCATCATCAAGACAATCTAACGCATCAATCAGATATAATCTTATCATAATATCCATTTATTCGTCATGTCGTTAAATTTGCCGCCACTGAACATAATAAACATGGTATACCATAGTGGGTGTCAATGACTAAATGAAAATAATAATAATAATAAAAAATAATGATTTAGTGGCTTATTTAGAACTATTATAATCTTGATGGCTAAACTGGGACATTTTTGCGACTTTGATAATAGTGCTAAATAAGCCAGAGGTAGCATGCATACTGGATTTTTGAGACTTTGATAAAATTAAATTCCGATTATAAAAATCATGACTTAGTGGCTTATTAAAGTCAAAAACTCTTATATCTACAGGACCATTTTTGAGACTTTGATACACCAACAAGTAGAATTTGAAATCCAAAATAGGACCATTTCGTCACATCCAAAAAATTGGATCATTTATTTATATTATTGGCTATTTTATGAATATTTGAATTTATAGTATTTTTTAATAATCATTTTTGTTTTAGTGAGTATAAATTATAATCCTTAAATAATTACTAATTAGACCATGCATATTCACCGGGGCAACGCGGAAGTTGGTGGTTGCATGGATGCCTTGTCTCTCTCTCCTCCTCAAATTCAAATCATCCTCACCCCTCTTTCTCTCTCTCTCAAGAAGTAGAGATTAAAGCCAATTTCATAATCGAAATTTAATTTTATTTGATCTCATCGATCGATGCAATGGATAAATCAGAGAAACAGGATAAAAGGGAGAGAGCCAAGGAGCGTAGAGAGAAACGTCGTCAAGAGATCTCTCTAATCCGTTCGATTCCTTATTCCGATCACCAGAGGTATGCATGCATAATGCATTTCCTCTTCATACTCGTTATATTTCTCTCACATTTTGGATTGAGAACGAACTCCTCAAATTTTGCTAACGATTAATCCAATCCTTGAAATATGTTGTTGATGCCGCATCTTTTGATGAATTTGAATTCGTAATCGCTTGGAATAAAACATAAGTTTTCTGGAATCAAATCAAAATGTATTCTAAAACCAGAATTAATTTGCAACAGCTTTCAAGGATTCAATGAAATCTAATTACGTTAACCTAAATTGAAGAGATCTATGACTTTTTACTGCATTTTCGTTTGCCTTTTTAATCAGTGATTCTCTTTTGACATGATGAATTCACGAGGTTAATAGAAACTTGTCCATCTTATGGAGTGTAAATGTTACTTTAGATGGTGGTCTGCGGATACAATAGCAGTGGTAACTGGAGCAAATCGAGGAATTGGATTTGAAATTGCACACCAACTTGGATTACATGGATTAACAGTTGTTCTTACTTCAAGAGAAACTGCTGTGGGTGAAGAAGCAGCAAAAGTCCTAAAAGAAGGTGGCTTAAAAGTTGTATTCCATCAACTCGATGTTATCGATCATGAATCTATCAACACATTTTGCACATGGATAAAAGAAAACTATGGTAGCATAGATATTCTGGTAAAAAATATTTTCATTTTCCTAGAATTCAATTTCTTCAGATTATTGTGACATGTGGTTATGAGCGCAAACTTTGCAGATAAACAATGCAGGATTCAATCATAATGTTGGGTCAGAAAACTCTGTTGAATTTGCTGAAAAAGTCATCAGCACCAATTATTTCGGCACAAAAAATATGATTAAAGCTGCAATCCCATTGATGAGGCCTAATAATGCGGGTGCTCGGATTGTTTCAGTGAGTTCACGATTGGGTCGACTTAATGGCAGGAAAAATGTACGTGTAATCTTTCTCGTTTTATTTAAACAAACATGATTCTTATATTTTTATAATTTATTTTATAAAATTTGAAATTAGAGGATTTCTAATGACGAATTGAGACAACAACTAGAAGATGTAGAGTCACTATCGGAGGAGAAGATAGATGGAATGGTGAACAAGTTTTTAGAGCAAGTGAAAGATGGGAGTTGGACTTCTGGAGGGTGGCCACAAAACAATACAGATTACGCACTCTCAAAACTCGCAGTCAATGCATACACAAGGGTGGTTGCCCGGGAACTTTCGGGCAGACCCGAAGGTGAAAAGATTTATATCAACTGCTACTGCCCGGGTTGGGTCAAGACTGCTATGACTGGTTGGGCAGGGCAGGTTACTACTGAAGAAGGAGCTGATACAGCTTTGTGGCTTTCTTTGCTTCCGGATATGCGTATTAGTGGCAAATTCTTTGCTGAAAGGCGCGAGATACATTTCTGATACGAGTTTTTTTTTTTTTTTTTTTTTATTAAAAATATTATTGTAAACATAGAAGATAATCATTTTTTTTTAATTATAGCTAGAAACTGTTTTTTGTATGTTGTGATATTGATATGATTTCCTTTTCTATGTTTCAAGTTTTTTTCAACAAATGAATGGAAACTAGATTATAGTTCAAATATGAAACTTGAAGGATTCCGACAAAACTGAATTCCATCCCTCTGGCAACCAAACACACTACGGAATGGAATCTCAAATTCCAATTCCGTTAGGTGATAAGGGGTGTGTGTTTTTCCAGAAAAATATATAAACAGAGTAGAGAAGTATCTGATGCCTGCTTTATATTTCTCTAGACTTTCTTTATAAATGGTACAGTTTTAATATATGAATTTTCTGGATGGATAAAACCAGATTGTACAAATATAAATGACATGAAGCAGAGTTCTTGGAGGAAATCAGAATCTACAAAACTGAAATCAGATTACAGTAAGTTTCGGGCAACGTACCAAATTTGGGCAAACGTATTAGAAAGTGCTGTTGAGGTAGAAGTACAAGCCAACAAGCGCAACGACTCCGACAGCAATTGCAATTGGTAATGCTTTCCTGATGAAAATAGGATAAAAAGCCATTGATGAGTATAAGTGTGTGTGTTTTAGCTTTATATGTGTTTTATGTTTAGGAATTACCCGACGGCTTCATCTCTCTTGAGTTCAGCTTTCCTTGCCTTTCTAACATCTGTTGAATTCGCATTTTTGGTCACCGGAGGTGTGTATTCCCTGAATCGTCGTTTCGGGGCACCACAAACTGCAATCAATTCAAACATTTACATTCTTTTTACCTGAATCGGAAGATTCATAAGTTGTATATGGAAAATTAGGTTAGAGTTTGATACCTGGGCAGAAGTATTTATCAGGGAGCTTCTCAAAGGGGGTTTTATCGCTATAGATGTACCTGCATCCCTCAAACACAAACACACATGAAATTCACAGCGAAATTCGATCAAACATAGATATAGTAAATAGAAATTAGACAACAATCGGAAGAATTACCCGCAGTCGCGGCAAATGTAAGCTTGTTTGGAGGCAGCTCGCATGGCGAATTTGGGTGCGGCTGAGGGCTGATGGCGGGGAAGCAGTAATTGAAGGGAGGGTGAGAGATAGAATGATGATTTCAGTGCTAGCTGGTTGGATGGCCGGAGGAGGCCGACATTGCTGCCGCCTGCCGGAGATAGAGGAGAAGGTGAAGGTGTTGATCTGGTGATTGGTAGCCTGAGTGGCGTCTGGAGAGCCATTGTTTTGGATGAGATAGATGCATGTAATCTTGGTAATGGTTGTTGTATAGGCTTTTGGTGGGAAAGCGTGGACGCCATACTCCCCACATAATTGAATGCGCCAAAACGTTTTGCTTTTTTCTTTCTTTCTTTCTTTTTTTCGTGTTTTCTATATGCTTCTTGAATGTCTTTTTGAGGAAAAAGATGGCATTTGTCTTAAATTTTTATTATTTAAAAGAAAATGTTTTTAAGTTTTGTTAGTAGTCACTAGTCATTATAGTCTAGGGTTTTATCTGATATTTTGATAAGAAAAAATATTAGAAGTGCACTTTTGTCACAAAGAATGAATACATGTTGCAAGAAAAATATTAGAGTGAGTCGTTGTTTCTTGTATCAAGAGAGGATAGGCTTCAAGGTATAAAAACACATGAGTCCATGTCTAGCTTATATATAATATATAGAGTATTAGATGTTCTATCTAAATGAGCTATTAAGGAGAGAGAGAGAGAGAGAGAGAGAGAGAGAGAGAGAGAGAGAGAGAGAGAGAGAGAGAGAGAGAGAGAGAGAGAGAGAGAGAGAGAGAGAGAGAGATGATGTGAGTCACTAATATTTATGAAGTACAAATTTTTCTTCTAGTAACGTAGTCGCTTACTTGATTAAAAACTTAGATGTTGTTTGTTTTTAAGACGTAAAAGTTTTACAGTCTGCAAACCACATCTATATAAAAAGAGGTGGGGGGGGGGGGGGGGGTCTACAAAAAGAAGATTGTTTGTTCTTTAAAATCAACAGACTGGTAGAATAAAGTGTTAAACTTTGAAGAGCTTTTTTTCAATTACCTTTTATCAGAAGTTAATAGAAATAAATTCTAAATCAAATTCAAAACAATATTTGTGTATAAATAGAACCAATCAATTGATTCAAACCATTTAAAAATATTTACAGAAAACGATATTTATGAAACAATACATGAAACCATATATAGCAAATCATCTTTAAGAAGAGCTAATTGCAAAAAACTATATGCATAAAACCATCTATGGAAAAATTTAAGGGAAATGACGCAATGGCCCTACTATGTATTTCAACTTTACCCTTTCAGTTCCTAAAGTTTTTTTCGTGTCTTTTAAGGGAACAAACTGTTTAGTGACCTGTTCATTTACTCCCTTTAACTTTTTTTAACCGGTTAAAGATGCCACATAAGCATGTTAAGTCAGTTTAATTATGACTTAGAGTAAACGACGACGTTTTGGACATGTGGTAACATAAACCAGCAAACAATCGAGTTGGACCATACGACTTTATTTTGAATATAACCCTTAGGGAGCAAGTTTTAGACGATTTATTGCCCGAAGTGATTATAAAACGCATGTTGGTGCCCTAAAATGATTACAACAACTAACTTTGTTACCCTAAATTCACAAAGAAAATTGCACCCTAAGTAAGACAAACATGCCTTCTATACATTGCACACAACAACTGGTCCTTCGAAGATCGGCGTCACATACCAACGAACGGCTCTATTACACGCGAGCCACAAGACATCTAGATCATTATTCTCCAACTTCAGCTTGAGGTTTCCCTTATCAGAGAGGAATTTTATGAAAACCAACGTCATGTCAGGGAAAGTCTTCTTCAGGAGATGGATTCCATGAATCGTGAGGTCTGTGATATAAGGGTAGGGGCTGTTGAAGGTGTCCCATTTGACCGACAAACCGAGGAACCATTTTTATTCACTCTAGCCAGCATATGTCAGTGCATTAACTGGCATAGTTAGAATGAAGAAGGTGCTTGTTGTCATAATTTTATTCGGAGTGGTCACTATTGTGGGAGTAGTGGCAGCTTACAAATGGTTCTGATGAAGGGTAGTTGCTTTGCTTTGTTTGGGTTTTGGTTTGGGGGTGTTAAGTCTTAAAATTTTTGTGCAATTCGGTAGTATAGTTATGGTTTTCTTGTTTTGGTATTAGTAGATATTGTGTTTTATGTGGCTGCCAAATATGGAAGCTACTCTTTTGGATGTCTTTTTCAATATCTAGAAGCAACATCATGAATGGTATTATGTAGGATTATGTACATAAAAGGGATTTACAAAACCCATATGAATGCAAATGAATATTATAGCTATATACACATTTTCCCTTTATTTTAGTACATGTCAACACATATTGTAGGACCCCAAGGGTTGAACTTGTTCATGTATGTTGCTCTTTTTTAAGGAAAACAATCTTGTTATATATACAGATTTGGGATCACATGTTGTAAAGGTTTAAGGAAAAAAATTGATTTATATAACCACATGTTGTAAAGGTTTAAGGGAAAAAGGTTTTGTTTTATATGCCACATTGGGATATCAAGCCCCTCAATCACCACGATTTGTACATACCAATAACTGAATAAAGTAATCACTTACATGGATAGAAAGTTACCAAAACAGGAAAAACAAAGGAATATATTATGTGTTTCTTATTATAATGAGTTATATTCAATTTCATATATGGGACAACATTGGTAAGGTCAAATATGGAAGAAAAAACCTACATGGACCACAACTGTGACATGCACTTATTCTTGATTGATAGTTGATGGGGCGATTAAGGAAAGTATTTATACAAAAGTCTCAAATAAATATTTAAAAAGCAATACAAATTACATAAACATTTAAAAGGCAATACAAATTACATAAGCACCCTTTTCTATAACAACCTTTCAACATATTCCATTAAAAGCAAAGAAATTACATAAATACCCTTCTCCATGCACTACATCAACACTAATCCACATCCATAGGCTTTGATGCACTGCTACCTTCACCTTTAATTTTTTTTCCCAACTTTATTTTAAGGATTCTTTCAGGCTTCTTCATCTATCTTGGTTGCTCTATTTTACTAAAATGCACTTCATGCTCATTAACCTTGGCATCTTAACCACCAACATCAGCCATTACAGCATCTTCCCCATCGAAACCAGCCATTGCAACATCTTCCCCACCCCTTTCCATGTTCACTGACTCTTGAGTTTGTCTCACACCCTGTGTTTTCCTACCATTAGTTTTAGGAGGCCTTTAAACTGGAGGATAAGTGGTCTTGTTGTGTCTTTTCTGTTTGCATATACCACATCATACAGATTTCCCAGCCTTTGATATAGTGTGTCTGCCAAGCCTTTCTGAACCATCTTTTTTTCTCTTCATAGTAGTTCTGCCAGGCATTCTTCTTTTAATTGGGGGGCAAAGGAGGGATTTTGTTTGTAGATAGCCAGATGTTAATTCCATTCATCCCATGTATGGGCTCTTTGTAATTATTATGGCATAATATTGTAAAGTACATTCTGTTGACATATGCTTGATAATGTGTAGTGTTTAAGAATGATAATGTTGCAATTGAGTGTACACAACCATACCCATTCAATTACCACAACCTACATGTAAATTCCCTCTTCTAGACATCAATAACATAAGACTGATCCAGGTTTCTTGTTTCAAACTTATCATCCCATAAGAAATAACTTGCTAATACCTAAATTTAGTAACAATAGTTAACTATAACTCAAAGTTGTGAAGTATTAATTCAATAGTATAGTTAGTGACATACCTTTGCTTCATTTTTAACAAATTCAACTTGCCCCTGATGTCAGGACATACATTTAAACAATCACATCCTTGTCCCTGAAGTTGCATTTTGATCATCATTTTCATGACATAAATATGAATATTCTCTAACATACTAATAATAGGTTTCGTCCTAGCATCCATTATAATACTATTGAAGCTTTCTAAGTATCCATTCTCCACAAATTCATAACATTGGTGACCTTTGAAGAAAGCCAAAGACCATGTCCTAGGATCCCTCTCTATAAGATACATAAAGGCAACAAGATTTAGTTCTTGAATCTCCTTCATGGCTACATTGAAATTTGTTTCATTAATTACTTTACTGTCCCTCTAGAAAATATTTTCAAATTGTGCTCCAAAAAATTTCTTTCTAAATTTAGCATAGATATGCCTTGCGCACCATCTATGTTATGTTGCTGGAAGTACCTCTTTCACTGCCTCAACAAATCCCTAAATATGTTCAATGATATAAAAATTTAGAAGGACATACAATATGTTGTAACACATTAACAAAAAAAAAGTAGCATACCTTGTGTTGATCAGATATTAGCACAACCCTAAATCCTTGATGTTGAAGGTTCAAGTGTTCTGTAAGATTATCAATAAACCACTTCCAATTTTCTTTGTTCTCTACACATACAACATCTCAACCAATTAAGGTATATGTCATTATTAGCATCCCTACCCACAGCACAAAGTAGCTCACCCTAGCAATAACTTTTCGGAAAAACAACCAATAAGGTTAATTATCCCTTTACACCTTTCCCCTCTAACCATCTTTCACTCTCTAAAAACATATGTAAATCCTATTGATGTATTTTTTACCATCATGCATTAAATCAACAAAAAAAATTACAGTTAAACCTGGATTTGATCTTTTAATCTCCTCGCCATATGACCATAGCTTGGCATAGTTGTCTGCAATTTTTCCTTCCACTAGAGTCAAAGATGATTTCTTGGCTCTCCTACACTGACTCATACTCACTTTCAATGCCAAATGTGTTTTACACCTCCTCTCTATGCAGCCTCATCTTCTTATTGTTTACAAATTCTTAGGTAAAATGGCTTCCTATTCATCTGTAAGTGATAATTAACCCAAATTTAAAATTCCTAGAACAATTATGGTTAATTACTAAAGACATGATCTAGAAAGACTTATCATCACTCATCCATGACCTCCAAAGCCTAAATGTACAACTTCTATCACAACATTTAACTAACAGTCTTCTACTATCATTTTTCTTAAAACATAGTTGATAACCATTAGCAACTGCATAATTACATAACATGTTTTTGCGTTGTTTGGGATTCTCAAACCTCATACCTAACACAGGTTGTTGCTCCTTCCAGGGTTGCTCTTCATTGAAACTATTTGGCAAATCAATATCAACATCATCCTCATCATCTTCATTCTCCCCTATGTCATCATTAACAACTTCACTTTCACCTACACTGTCACTCATCTCATAATTTGGCTTATTATATTTTTTGAAAAAATGAGGGTTGTCATTATCATCTGTATGCCATGTCTCATTTGTTTCACTATCATTGTGGACATCATCAACAACTTCTTCATAATTAGTATCAACAACTTCCTCTCTTTCTTCATCCAACCACTCTTGCATGTTAGTAGTACCAAAATAGTCTACATACAGTGGGAGTACGACACCACATTCATACGCAATGGATATGAAAGTGGAATAATCAAGTTCATTCCTAATTAACCTCAAACCTTTTGGAAAATCGATATCAGGAAGACAGTAATAAAGTTTCTCACATTTTTCTGCTGTGAATCTTTCCATGAACGCGTAGCAATCGTTCTTGTGCATGCTTGCGAAATCAATGTTCTCTAGTCTCTGCGTAGTACCATCAATATATTGTATGGGGTATCTTTCAAAGATTCCTTGAAAATGCACATCGATAGTTGTGACATCCCCATTTTCACGGCCAGAAAAGACCGATTTTGTTTATGTTTTGTTTAAAAATTAGAGTAACATTTTTAAGAAAAGTATTGCAGAATTTGTTCCCAGAAAAACATGATAAATGTATTATCAAAGCATTTCCGAATAAATGTATTTTATTCTTTTTTAAAACATTTGGGATGCCATCGTCAATACGATAACAAAAGCATAAACAGAACTTACATTCATTATCACTATATATCTCCTTAATCTTTCAATGTAATGTAACTTCATATCGATACCTGTGATACAAATAAGTTTAAGTGGCTCAGGTTGGGAAACCTGGTGAGTACATAGGGATTTCAATCCCACAATGTTATATCATATATATAATTTAGAACTCACAAAATATCAATTTCCCCATATATATAATCAACTCTTACCCCCACCGGGTTAATCCTCACAATGAGACTATCCATACTCTCGGACCTTAGATTTTACCTCTTACTCCAGGATATAATCCACGTTCTTAAATCAATAATTGTGTCCATTCCATACTCTCGGATTAGGGACAAGTGTCAATGTCTAAATCCATACTCCCGGATTTGTGACGAATAACTATGTCCTATCCATACTCCCGGACTAAAGACAACTGACTATGTCTTAATCCATACTCCCGGATTAATGACGTTTGACTATATCCAATCCATACTCTCGAACTAGGGACAATAACTATGTCTAATCCATGCTCCCGAATCAATGACATATATTAAAGTTCTATTCTCTTAGTATAACTCACTCGTACTCGTAAGAAGATACTACCCAATATTCCTCATAATTAATTTAGGTTTACTCTTGATCCTAAATTATCATATATAATCAGGTATGTTCTTTAACATGTATTTCAAGCAACATCACATAATTCGCACATAAACATATATTTAATACTTCAATCAATACTTGTATTAAAATCATGTTCATGAAAGGGACTATGCACTCACTTGTTAAGGTGGTGATTCCAAACTCATACAGCGCTTCGCTTCATAAAAATAATTCCTTTGACGAAACCTAGTACTATTACCACTAGATTTTAGTCTAATGTTAACCGTGACTAATTATTAGTCTTATTATGTCACACCCCAAAACCATGAACGGCGGAAACGTTCTGGGGCGGAGGACGTCATGTACAGTATCACAACAATGAAAAGTAGTAAACAAGCAACAACATCATCCATTGCATTAATAATATAATTTTAATACAAGTGTGTTTTGTCAAATTATAATAAACACTAAAGTATAAATCAAAATGAAAGATGAGTCTTGAACGAGCTCCATCTTCTCTAAACCTTGCATCGATACCTATCTACTGTTGACCTGAGGATACAAGTTATTTTGAAAGAGAGTATCAACTTTAAATATGGTGAGATCATAAGTATTTTAGTGTTTGTATTTTTAATAATGTATTTGTAAGAATGTGTTTGTAAGACTGTATTTGTAAGTATGAGTATGTAAAAGTTTTGAATAACCTAGAAAACCCTATGCTTCCTACTAAAAGTAGCCTTCTAGCAAGGTATCTAGTATCTGACTGTGTCTCTTGTAAGAGTGTGTATTTTCCCAAATCTGACTATCATTGACCAAAAATATAGTTTCTACATTACCGTGCATCGTGTGAATGTTCACGAAGTGAATGTAATGGGAAAATGAAATAGTACTATGGTGTAGTATCAAATAACTACAACCTTACTAACTACCTTAATTCTATGGTAATTTCGTAAGTACTGTAGTATTTGTAATAAGTGACTACTTCTGTACTATTTTGCCTTATTTGATGGATAAGGCATAATGTGATGGCTAGATCCCAGGCTAGACGCTCTCCTGTCAAAGAGATTTTGGGACCCATACACGACCCCTGCATATCTGCAAGCCGTGAACATCCACATTACTATGATCACGTATACCCAATATAACTATCACAATGCGTTGTGATTCAGTGGTATAGTTAGATCCTGAAATCATTCCATGCTATAGCACCTAGTGATGTCTTGTTCTATTATCGTATATGTAAATGCACTCATGTAAGCGTAATCATTTAAACGTATAGTAGTGTACTGTAATGTTCTGTGTGTGCTAGTTGTAATGTGTGTTCTTCCTCTGTCTAGCCTGTATGTTTGTTTCTCTTCACTATGTATTATGCTTATTTCTCATCACTATGTATTATGTTTGTTTCTCATCACTATGTATTATGTTTGTTTCTCATCATTAAGTATTATGTTTGCTTCTCATCACTATGTATTATGTTTGCTTCTCATCACTATGTATTATGTTTGTTTCTCATCACTATAAGTTATGACTCATGTATGAACTGACTCTTTGTATGATTCATTGTTCTAGTATTAGTAAAACCCTAAACTACGCATATTGTAGCTTACTAGTAATATAACTTGTATGTATGAACATGGAAGTATACCCTTGCTACCTAAGGGTACTGAATGAACTGGAAGAACCTTTATGACTATATATGTACACATGATATATAACTAATATTTAAACGACCTTCGGACGGATACCTGATACTCACCATACCACATCCCAACGGTTAAAAGGAAATAGAACGGATAGCCTTCCTAAGTCCTTTAAACATTTCTTATATTATTATACATATATAGGCATGCAATTGACAATATAAAAGCATAAAATAAGTTTTGTAACACTTTTGAACATGATTCTTATCTAAGTAAAGGTCGACTTGATGTCAGCCTATAAAAATGGTTTGGAAGTATTTGTTTGAAAACACAGTTTAAGTATAACGAAAACATTTGTTTGAAACAAAATTGTAAATGAGTTTGAAATGAAACATACGGTATATAAAGAACAGTTTAATAAGGAGTTTTAAACATATAAAACGTTTATGAAAATCATTTAACAAAAACTGTTTGGTAAAACAGTTAATGTGTAGTAAATCATCTGAATGCTGCTTATTAATCACATGTGATTGATATAATAACTAGCATGATTCTACTTGTATCCCCCCTCCATAAAACATTTAAAACATTGATTAAGGGGTATGAACTCACCTGTAGTGAGTGGTACGGATGAACTAAAGATGTAGGATTGCTAGGTGTCAAGTGAAGTCTTGAACACACTCTATGATCCTAGTTAACATATAATATCACATATATGTATAAAATTAGTCTTTAAACAACTAATAAACAAAGTTAAGACACCCTAGGACATGCTAAACACCTTATACAAGTGTTATAAGTCTCAAGGGTTGCATCTAAGTGTTGTAGGGAAAGGCTAGTGTGTTTGGGGTTCAATGAACACTCCTTTAAGGAGTTTACGGTTTTATGGTCACTAGCAAAAGGGTTTACGGTCGTAAGCTCACCCCCTTTGTGACCATTTGATGTTTGAAGCTTTCTAAGCCAATCCAAGCATTCATACTTCATGTTTAAGCCTTAGGAAGTGTTGTGTGGCATCAAAACACTCCTAAATGGAGTTTATGGTTTATGGACCATTTCTCCATGAGTTTACTACCTTAAACTCTCATGGAATTAGGTATTTTGGTGATTTCAAGTCGTTAGCTCATCATGGTAATAGTCTAGGTTAGATTCTAGGCATTAGGAGTAAATATGGGACATTTAAACACCTTTTGGGGTGTTTACGGTTTGGGAGATCCCCAAACCATAAACACATCTAAATGATTGTTTTATTGTTCTTTTAGGTGATAAACACATCAAGGATGGATCTAGACAAGTCCCTAAGGCATTCTAAAACATCTAGACACCCTAAAGCACCCTTTGGCACTATACTTGGTGTTTACGATTTTGGGAGCCTCCCAAAACCGTGAACACCTTGTTCTTGGTGTTCTTGGGACTTTTCCTTTGATATTAATACATATAGCAAGCTTTAAATGACTCTAGGATAGAAGTACTTACTTTGTGGAAGCTTGAAATGAACTAAAAGTCCAAGAACACTAGTGTGTGTTCTTGGTGTTTTGGAAAACTAGTCAAAACACATAAATGGATGGATTAAAGGATGTATAATCACTAGATGTTATGATATATCAACTTATCAAGTCGAGAAACACTTACGTTTTCAGGAAATCGGGCGAAATCCGGGATGATACTTGAGAGAGTTTGGAGTTTACTCTTTAGGGCGAAAATGAGAAGTGTGGTAATTTGGGGAGTAAACTCATGCTTAAGCATGAGTTTACGTTTTTGGGGGGTAGTTTACGGCCCAAACATTAAAGTATGCCGTGAACTTCTAAGCTATGTGGTATTCGCGGTTTAGAAATTTCAAGACCCGAGACGGCACATTCTTTCACCTGTTCATTTAAAGAATAATTATTATAATAGTCAAACGAACTTTAAATTTGTTAAAAATAAATAGAACTGAAATTGACTTATAATATGAAGTGATTGACTTTTAGGGTTTGACCGAATGAAAATTTCGAGTTATCACATATTATTATTATTATTATTATTATTATTATTATTATTATATAAGAGTTTAAACAATACTTTTTGCTCACTATGTACAAACATGGGCCAAACATAAAACACCGGAGGGTAGGACCATTTTGGCATATAGCACTTCTGAAATCCAACAACTCTATGCGGCCTGTTAAACCAGATTCCCCGTACCGCGAGTAGTTAAAAAGATATTATAACGACACTTATACAAGTCATAATAATAGTCCAAATATTTATTATAAGTTCATAATAACAATATTAATTTTAAATATAAGCTATATTTAAAATATGGTAAGCATAACTTACTTACAATGGAGTTTTAGCTAGGAGCCGAGCTTTGTAAGGGCAGAACTCCGTCGTTGAATCTTTCTAAGAAAGATTCGTGCAACGCTTCAGCGCTCACCTTACTATACTAAAACTACATAAAGAGAATTTGAATCACTAGGAACCGAAATG